CCCCTAGCTTTGTTAGCTGATCCGCAAACCCATTTGCTGCTCTTGGAGTCCACTGAAATAAAACCTGCATATCCTTTGTGGAGTGATTAATTTTCTTAATCTCATTTCTGAATACCCCATGGAGCCTTTCCATCCTGCTTCAGCCAGCTTATCACCACTTTGGAGTCGCCTTCTACAACCAACTTCCTTACACCTATTTCCGAGGCCTTTTGTATACCAAAAACCAGAGCTTTTAGTTCAGCTGTAATGGAGTCTCCCCACCCAATAGGGCCAGAAAACAGCCCCACTACATTCCCCCTGTCATCTCTAATGACCCCACCAATACCAGCCATGCTCGGGTTGCCAAAATTGCTCCCATCAAAGTTTAATTTGAGGAATCCCGCTACAGAAGGATTCCGGCTTCTTACTACCTTCTTTTTAGCAGATGACGAGGAAGCTACAGTCCTCCAGTTCCTGATTATATCATTCACAGTAAGGTCTGAGAATGACTCCATCGATTTTACACATGAAGTCACTTTAACATAATCCCCTCTATCAATAATTCCTTACACATTTTCTTCCCTTCAAAAGTCCTCAGATTTCTTTCCTCCCATAACATCCAAAGTACTGCTGCCCGTGTGCATCTCCATAAGGTTTTCCCCCTTCTCTTTGGCCACCTGAAAGTGGAGGCTTCAAACAAACTCCCCAGGCTCACCGGGGTATCCCACCTGCAACCAAAGAGAGAAAAGAACCACTCCCATATGCTGCTAGCTACAAGACAGGAAACAAAAAATATGAAGAGCAGTTTCACCATTAGATTCACACAAACAACACCAATTAGGTGAAAGGCACCAGCCAGGCCTCCTCCTCTGCATCAAATAACAGGTGTTAATTGCACCATGGTAAACTTCCCAACAAAAGGCACCCACTTTAGGGGGAATAGGGCAACACCAGACTTCACAGAATGGAAAATGGACCCCAAGTTGAAAAGAAGTCAAAGCTTTGAAGAAGGACGCACGATTGAATTCACCAAGGGGGTTAGGAATCCAAATTCTAGTGTCTTGCTTGGTAGAATCTATACAAATCCCATCAAGCAACTGAATAATAGCAGACACCAAATCCAACTCCGAATCACACACATTTCTGCGGAGACCCAGGTTCCAAGCATACCTAGATTGCGAGGGAGAGGGGGACAGGAAATCAGCAACCGGTTTTCCATTAACTCAGCTTTTGGAGAGTTGCCCATGCCAATAGGTCCAGTGAATAATGCTAATATTCTCCCATCAGAATTTCCGATCACTCTCCTATTACCTGACAGTCCTGGATTTCCAAAAGAGCTTCCATCAAAATTCAGTTTGATTCTGTTACCATCTGGAGGTTTCCATTCCATCCTTGCTCTCTCTTTCACTCTTGAAGATTGTGCTATTTCTGTCCAGGATCTTATAATGTCCATGACTGAGAACTCTTGAAAAATATGCAAAGATCTTACCCAATGAGCTACTTTAACTTTAATTGTATCAATTACCTCCTCAATTGTTCTACTCTTGTCCAGGAATATTCTGTTATTCCTTTCTTCCCAAATCACCCAACAAACAGCTGCCTTTGTAGCTTTCCGCATAACTTTCCCTCTTTTCTTTGGTTGCCTCAAAAAATCTCGGTTGAAAAGTCCTGCCACATTTTGCGGGGAAACCCACCTGCAGCCAAAGAGAAAGCAAAAGAATTCCCAAATGTGATGCACAAAGGAACAAGATAAATAATAGATGTGTCAAGGTCTCACCACTTTCCTTACATAGTCCACAATTTTTCCTTTTCCAATGAAAATCTTCACAACCATTTCCCTAGTAAAGCCAAGTTTCTCTTCCTTATATCCCCAATGCCTAGATCTCCATCCTACTTACGCCTAGACACCACCTCCTACCTAACCCTATGGTCCTTTTTCTCCTCCCCTGGCTCCCAAAGGAAATCTCTCATTAGTGTTTCCAACTTGCTAGCCACTCCTGCAGGCACCTTAAAGACCGAAAGGTAATAAATGGGAAGGTTAACCAAAGTAGACCTAATTAGGGTGATTTTTCTTCCAAGAGATAGATAATTATTATTCCAAGATGCAAGTCTCTTTTCAAATTTCTCCACAACTGGAATCCAAAAACTTCCTTTTTGAGGTTTCTCTCCTAGAGGAAGACCAAGGTAATTTAGAGGCCAAGTCGACACTACACATTCCAAAATGTTTGCACACACAAGGATTTCACTTTCCCCCATATTCACACCTACAACACAACTTTTTTCAAAATTCACTTTCATATTTGACATTTGCTCAAAGAGTTGAATTATGAGTTTCAAAATCCTAATCCAATTCAAGTCCCCTCCCTCACAAAAGAGAATTGTATCAATTGCAAACTGCAAATGTGTGAGTGGTATGTTCTCCCTACCTACTCTCCACCCTTTGATTAGACTCCTAGAATCTGCTCTAGAAATCAGTCTCCCTAAGACTTCAGCAACCAAGGTAAACAAGAAAGGGGGTCTCCTTGTCTTATTCCCCTCAATGTCGGGAAGAAGTCCACCACTGTTCCATTCACCAGTATAGAGTAGTGGCAAGTCCTAATACACCCCAACACCCACCTGCACCATCTATCTCCAAACCCAAAGTTGATCATCACCTCCAGCAAAAAAGACCAATCTACCAAATCATAAGCTTTTTCCAAGTCTAATTTGCAAACCACACCCTTTTTCCTTGATTTCATGAAATCCTCCACACTCTCATTTGTTATAAGTATTTGATCAATTATCTGCCTTCCCCTCACAGAAGCTCTTTGGTTATTTGATAAATGGTATTGAGCACCTATCTAATCCTAAGGGACAACACCTTCGCAATAATCTTATACAGACTATTTACTAGACTGATTGGTCTATAGTCCCTTGGGTGTATTGCTTCTCTCTTCTTGGGAACCAAAGCAATGAAGGTGGAATTCAACCCCGGGTTAATCACTCCTCTTCTATGGAATTCATCAAAAACCAGCATTAAATATCATCTTTCAAGAAATCCCAACACTCTTGATAAAAAGCCATGGAGAAACCATAGTTTCCACTGTTTCAAGGATTGAAAAGCTCAGCCCTTCTTCTTCCACATCCAAAATCGCTTTCCTATCACTGAACAGCATGGCGAATGCAGGAGATTTAAACTTGTGTTTCTTCAATATACACTCTAGTATTATTTTTCCCCGGTCCACTACGTCTCTTTGGGCTGTAAGAACTAACCTCTGCCTCCAATCCCCTTCTTTCTCTGCTAACACCAGCTTTCGGTGATTCATCGAGCAAGCCAACTGAGGCTTTATATCAAACTTCGCTTGCTCCCTGCTTGGCTGGGACTCAATAGGTACTTCCTCCCCAGAAAAATACTGTATTTCCTTTCCTGCAATTTCTCCGCAAAAGCCAGCTAGCCATTTCTTCCTTTACCCTCTGGAACACACAAAAACTATCTTCTATTATCACCAAACTGTTCAACTGTAGCTACAGACCAACCTTTTATATTCCTTTTTACTTCTTCATATTTCTTCCCCATTACGCCCAAAACAAGCTCTTCCAACCTTGTTGTTTAACAGTGTAGGAAGCTCCATTGACAAACCCTTTGAGCCAACTGATAGCTTCTTCGACTACGAATAAGGCACCTCTCTTGTCTTCTCTGATCATAATCGCTGTAACTCCATCACATCTTCCTTCCTCGAACAAGAAAATCTTTGCTTCAATGTCCAGCTCTCTTTCCCATCTCATCACTGATTAAAATGTGTGCAGTGCACTCGTCACCAATTGCTTCAATCTCCAGCTCCCTTCAATCTACCATTCATGAATGATACTTTCAGACCTCATTTGAGAAAATTCATACTGATAAGATGAGTAGTTGGTCCCTACAAACTGACTAGTCTCAGGACATGTTTATCATTTATGTTGGATCATAAACCTTTCAGTAGATACATGTGTATAAACCACTCACCAACTAGAGCTCTTTCAGAGTAGCATATTGAGAAAAAGAGCTTGTTTACATAACAGTTTGTTTGTATAATCATCAAAGTTACACTATTACCCAAAATCAAATTCTCAACAGCTGAAGTCCACTGACTTTGTTTATCTCTTTGTAATTTAGTTGATCACATTATTAACTCATTTTAAATTACTCTGGGAAATTGTGTAAATCCTCTATGGAACAGGAGGATTCTAGGTTAAGTAGAACCGTATTGGATTTCTTAACTTGGTTATGACCATTGGAAGGAGACACAGAACACCAGTCTAGCACTAGGTTAGTTGGGTTACCTCTAGTCACACAATAGATTCCCCTGAATTATGTGACTAGGAATAACGACTGTGTTACAACTTACCACCAAGGAATAATAATCCTCCAATACCAAGGTGAAAAAAGTATCAAGCGTTTGGACCCAATGTACCACTTTTAATAGTGATATTCTAAATAAGTGCCTCCTTGGGTTGCTTATTCTCTATCAACCTTGTTCACTTGTTGGAGAGTGTATTTCTTTATACTTCCAAACCTGACTACAGAATTTGGTTAATTAACCACAATGGTTCGTTCTTTCATGCCTCTTTTTTTCAAGTCTCTCTAATGTGATTTTTGTCCTCCTCACTGGTATTTCCAATAAAACAACCATATCTATACTATATAAGGACGATATTTGTCTTGGACTCTTGGTTCCCATGCAGATTGCAGACCATAAAACTTAAATTACAGGATTTTACTAGCAATAGTAACATCATATCATATAAGGTTAACATTTACAAATGGCAGTTGTCCAAATATTTTAATCTTTAAATCTAATCAATGAGTTAAGATGTTTAAAGTACAGTAAAAAATCAAAATTTAAATGTCTTTTCATCATTTTAGTTTTTACCCTTTTATCTTTACTTGCACATGTGCATAGCATGTGCCCTTACACTAGTAATATAAGTAAAGCCAAACATAGCAAGAACCTGTATCAACAAAATACAAATATCAAAGAGACACAGGGAATAAGAAATACCGTATCAAAATCCATATTCGAAGGGAACTCTATAATTCTCTCCCTAGATGACACAGTATGAGATTGACCAAGAAAACTAGATCTCAATCTTGCCATTCTTGCAGAGGTAGGAACTCGACCACGATTTGCTGACCGAGTTGAAGAGTTCTGGAAAGACCGTGATGGATATTGTCTATATAAATGTGACATTGATGAATCCCTCTGTGCAGAAAAGAAAATAAGATTATTCCTCAAGTGAAAATGGTATAAAGTAAAGCAGTAATTATCTTTTCTCTTTCTTTTTCTAAGAGAGAGTTTAACAGTAATTTAACTCAAAAATATTTTAATAAAATCAAAATGAAAAGAAATATAAGGAACTATAGTAACCAATGAGTTTATGCAACTCTTAGATACACCTCGATCTACAGACATGGTGGAACCCATGAAAAGACACACTACAAAACAAAATGAAGCATTAATCCCACTTCACCTGTAGGACAGTAGAGTGAGGTGTCCAAAAGTTGCATAAACTCATTGTTTACTAACGTTCTTTGCTGACCAAACATGTATCCTAGCAAAGTGCACATTAGGTAACCTTGTTTCTCTTTCACATGCAAATAACTTCTTAGTCATTAGTTTTCTAATTACTATTTGAAAATAAATAACAGTTCATAATTTATCTTTCAAAATAATAATTATTGCTACAACCATATACCATTACTGTCTCTTTTTCTATAAATGGTAAATGGTAATTATATTAAAAGGAGGGAAATACTCCCCCAACTATAAGCATGTATAAAGGAATAGACTAATTTTTTTTTTTTATCAATAACATCAACTTCATTAAATTAAGAGAAGAGTGGGAAAAGAATACAAGGGGAGATAAAATAACTTAGCTCCCCAAAAACAGAAAACACAGGGAATGCAAGGAAAATTAAAAACAGCCTCCCTATTCACTCCTTGCTTGGCCAACCCATCCGCAAATGAGTTGGCACTCCTCTTCACCCAGCTGTACTGAATCTCAATGTCCC